CTTATGGATAATTTGGGTGAAAATTAGGCAGCTCATTAATATTCTATTTCGTGGCTATCGACGATTGGAGATTGGAGAATGCAGCCGAAACCTATACTCGCCTGGGAACACAAGTGCCCCAGCGAGTAATAAAGGTGAAGTATGCACATCATAGGATGCGTTACTTAAAATTCTAACTACTTTTTTTCTGTAGTAATAATAAACGGTTGAGATTTGAGGGATACGTTGCTCCCCAAATGATAACACAATATTTTAAGTAGGGATATACGAGAGCAAAATACAAGGTTCGCAGGGTAAGACGGGTGAGACAGAAACTTGATCTATATTTTATTCCAATGGACTTTGAAATTTTGCTAGCAACATACGAAATATGTGATTTCCAAGTCAGACTTTCATCCAAAATTACTCCAAGGAAAGAAGTTTCCTTGACTCGTTCTAGCCTATGATTATTTATTTCAAATAATAGATCAAGGGTTTGCCTCCTTTGTCTAGGGCTGAAAATTATATAATTAGATTTCTCAATGTTGAGCGAAAGCTTATTTGCAAAAAACCATTTTGATAGATTTTTCATTTCACTATTAATTAATGACCTAGATAAATCACTATCGGAAAAAAAACACATTTGTGTCATCAGCAAATAAAATCATTTCGGCTATGCTAGAAGAATTAGCTATATCATTAACATAAATCAAGAAAACAAAGGTCGAGGATTGACCCTTGAGGTACGCCACACTTAATTTTACTTAATGAAGAACAAGTACTGTTGAATTGAACATACTGTTGTCTATTAGTAAAATAACTTTTGATTCATTGAAGGGCCGATCCTCGAATACCATAATGCACAAGTTTCTCAAAAATGCAAGCGAGGTGGAATGGTTTTTTCTAAAGCCGTACTGATTATTCAATAATCAATAATAATTTAATAGCCGTTCACACACGACCCTTTCCAAAATTTTAGAAAAGACCGGTAGAACCGATATTGGCCGGTAGTTGGAGAACAGATTACCCGCACCTGATTTAAAAATAGGTATAACTCGTGCTATGGTCAGGTCGCTGATCGTTCATGATTCATTTCCTGGATCACTTTTTTTGTTATTTCCCTTCGAGTTATTGTGGCAAAATAAAGCTCAAATTGTAAGACTTACGCCCGTATTCTAAAAGCTTACTCGCACTCACACTCAATGAGTGGAGGTTCAATCTGAGCTTCTCTTGAGTGTCAATGCTGTTTTCGAATGGTTGAAGGATGAGTAGTCGCATAGTAAGGTACGACACTAACCCTCCAGCTATTCAAAAACGGCAATGACACTCGAGAAAAGCACAGATTGAACTTACACTCATGCATTAAGAGTGAGTATGAGTGGGCTTGTAGAATACAGGCGTTAGTTTAAATATAGTTCTTAATAACTTGACCACATAATATTTTCCTTGGGCCTTTATTTAACCATTTTTTAATCCTATAATATTCTACCAATAAATCAAAAACTTTGCCGACTATATCTTGAAATAATTTAGCACTTTTCTTCAGAGTATGGGTAATCATATCATGAGATTTTGGGCATCTCATTCGACAGAACTATAATTTTCGAAGGCATTTTCATGTAATCTAAGCTATATGGAAATTTTGTGTCTAAGATTTTATTATAAATTTATTAAACCATGCACAGAAGGAGCAGTTGCAGAAAATGCATCATCTACAAATCCCTTCAACATTTAGTTATATCGAGCGAGATGTCCAAAATCTTGATAATTACCCATGAGTCTGACAATGGCATAACCTTATGAAGAACTTGTGGTTAGAGCCTGACAACTGAACTCTTTAGCTCAGTTAACTGCATGGTTAGAGTACCGGACCGGAATTGAGGGCCGCATGCAGGATCGAATCCTTCCGCTGATGGCCTATAGCAACTACTCCTGGTTAGGTTTAATAAATGTAACGTAGAAGAATTACACTCGAAATTTCAAATTAAATAAATCCCTTCCACAATAAGTTTTTCTCAGTACATATATCAGCATGTAAATTACACACGTGCAGCTTGAGTGATCAGCTCTCGATTTGTGGCAGCAATATTTGATCGTGCTTGATTACAGAGAACGTACGCTGTATATGCTGGAAAAACAAGCCTCCTTGCCAACGATATAATACTTAGCATATACTAAGTACTTTTTGACACTTATTCGGCCATGACACCTAGGGCGCTTCTAAGGTGAGAAGATGCTATATTGCGACCAAGAACATGCAGGTAGAGAAGTTGATAATTTATTCAAACTATAATGAACTACAGGGTGTATCAAAAAAAAGCGCAATCCTCGACTGAAATGTAAATTGCTAAACAAATAATAGACGAAAACGTTAAAGTTTACATTCATTTTAAAGCGTAGCCATTCAGCTTTCTAACAGTGGGTTGTTTCTTAAATTTGACTCATTGGTTCGCGGGTAATAATATTTTACGTTATTGCGATTGGAGATTAAAAAAATTGAGATGGAATAACAAATCGTTCTCATAAAAATAACTGATTTTTTCATTAAAACAAACAAATGTTGCATTTTATTAAATGGATTGTAACAATAAGTATAATTACGGCTTTTCTTCCACTATTTTTAACTCAGTTTGAAACTTCAAATGCGATATAATTTTGGCTTGGACCATCTAAGCTGACTGACATCAACTTACTATAATTTCTGTTTGCATTACATCGCAATTCGATGACACTCTGGCTCAGACACCAGAATGTTTTGACGATTTTTAGCATTCGTTTAGGATTTTCAAACAACCTGCTCTCTTTTAAAATACTTTTAATTTGTTCTTACGTGGTTTTCCAGATGTAGTGACGACAACATTAAAGTTTAAAGAAGAAAATTCTAACATTTAAACCGACTAAACAATAACATAGTAGACTTGCATAATTAAACAGCAACTAAAAATGTTAGGTTTTACTAAATCTTTTCCTGTGCAATCATTACTAGCATTGGAGACAAGGATAACAGTTTGTTTGAAAGAGAAAAGAACAGGCTTTGAAGTAAGCCTAAATGCGTTTAACTAGAAATAGTATTTCGAAAGTTATTAAGCACAAAAGATGAATTGCGTTTATTTTGATACACCCTGTAGAAAAACTGGCCAAATACAAATAGAATAAACATTGCCGGTCGAAATCGTGCCTTTTTCTACCGTTGGTTACTTTTGTTTTAATAATTTTTCTTTAGTTGTTATGTTATGTTCTGTTTTATAAAATCTATAAATAATGCACGAAAGTGTGGAAAAATGCGATTTCGATTGGCTTGTATTTGGCTATTTTTCCTTGAAATGATACAAAAAGGTGTCACTCAAAAGCTCAAACCCGGCAGTGGTATACAATAAACGATACTGAATGGGACTCTCAATTGGGGACTCCCTGAGGTTCCTTCCGCTTCTACACCCTTGGTAAAACGCTAATCTTTATTACTGCCGTGAAAAGTTAAATCTGTGCACTCAATATGGAGAGCACATGCAAGAGCACCCCTGCATAATTAAAAGGTTGAAAATGTCGCTGAATTCCCCTTAGCTAGTGAATAGTGTACCCATCAATCACAGGCCAATTAAATAAAGTGCCAGATACACTGTGATGACGCATTTATGTGTTATACAGCGTTTATTCTGAAGAGTAACAGTAGCTAGTCCCCGATTTCATAAAGAACAATCTATATAAGTGAAATTTTATCATGGGCCAGCTTGGGCCAGCGACATTTTTAAACGTTTTTATACAGGGGTCCTCTTGTGCTCTCAAAGATGGTTTTGATGTTTTTATTGAGTGCATAGATTTAATTTTTCGCAGTGAAAAGTTTAAACCGCATTTGCATTTATTAACCATTTCCTGCATTCTGATCATCAGCATCAAAGAAACATATCCGGTTCTTCATAAGCAGATCCTGACAATATGCTTCTTTGATGCTTCATACTTAACGCAATGATCATCTTTGATTAAATATTTAACGCGATGATCAGAATGCAGGAAATGGTTAATTAATGAATGCAAATGCATTTTATACTTTTTATATACTGTTCATCTTAATTCATTTATTTGATTTTACGATCTTACCAGCCTTACCAAATATCAACGTCAAATGACCACGGTGACTACCTTTTGGAGGTGGTAACTGACTGGTCGAATCACAAAGCAATTCTTTCTTGTAAATCGCATCTCATTGCATTGTTAATAAAAAATTAATAGGGTGTCATTTGTCCTCCACGATGGATGCAGTGATGCCAGTGAATCGGGATTGTTCATCGCTGGAATTAGTGATAGCAACTAAGTTAAGGCAAACAAGTCTGCCTTACAAAACGTCACCTCGACAAAGAAGTTGATACAGAAGCTCAGGAGGTTCGGGTTAACCTGTGTTGGAACCTTTTATTTTCTGGTTGAACTCTTCTTAACTATTTTTGTGGTTGAAATTTTTCATTTTTGTGTTTGAACTTTAAATGTAATCATTTCATCAACGGCCGGCGACATTTTTAAAAGTTTTTATAGAGGGGTGCCCGCACAGATTTAATTTTTTATAAAAAGTATAAACCACTTTACATTTTTATGTAAAGTGCGCGATCTTGGTAATGGTAAAAATCATTCATCATTTTGCACGATTTAAAAACTTACCAATACTGTCCCACATATAACTTAGCTGTTACTTACAATGCAATGCACTGATGCAAGGCAATAAATTAGATATAAATTATCATGATATACATTATCATAAATTATAACAATCATAAATTATTGTGAAAATCATAATAAATTGTCATCGTTATCAACACGTGCAAGTCCTTATCAATGCATAATCTAAAATAAAGTGAACAACACCAATTACCAGCAAAACATTTCCTCACAACGTTTTTATTAACAGCTTACAAAATTACACTAACTTTTTAGGAAATAGTACAAAATTACAATATAAATAGTTTACCTATCAAGCAAAATTAATATTTGCAATCAGTACCAGTGTCTAGTTAACTTGCTGATTATGTCTAGTGTTAGGTGGTGGCTCTTCTATGGTATTCAGGAGTGGCATTTACATAATCTGGACTAAATAACACGTCAGCTTCTCGACTGAGATAGTTCAAGAAATCTTGAATACACGAAACAACAAACTGCATGCTTTTCTCATCAAAGTTTGAGTAGGACAGGGCACTACCTAGTCGAATAAATAACCGTAGCAAGTGTTCCACTCCATATATTTCACACATAGATTTGCTTGGCATGTCATTCAAAAGATCACCATATTGTGGCCGTTCAAATTTGTATAGAAGTTGTGTACCAAGCATAACATTAAAATATTCTTTTATCCCCTGAGTCATTTCTGCTGCTACACCAGGACGAACACCATTAGGGTTATCGACAACAGATTGAACATAATCCTGTAAGATATTATGTACTGTCTTTTTCCTTGGCAGAGGAACCAGTTGTTTTTGTCTTGTTATTAAATCCCAGTCATCAACAAGCCAATGTTGTAGTTCCTGTGGAATGGCTATTCTAATATCCATACGTGGTAAAAAGCTGTCGTCATTTTCACTGTTGGTTAGTCGTGATCTTTTTCTTCTTGATTGACTGTCAGATGACCCATCACGTTTGCTTGACTTATCCAACACGTCACTTCCTTTTTCAATCTTTTTTCTAGCCTTCTTGCTTTTCCTGGAAATGAAACCAAAACAAGTTATGAAACATTAAAACAATATGGTATGCATCCATACAGGTTAAAGTCATACCAACACATTTACCAATAAGTTTTACAAAAGTCATGTCCTAGTATGATACTCTGCGATTACTGACGGTGTTTAACTGTAACATGCTTTTAGCAGGGGTTACATCTTTGGTGTAGCTTGTGATACTTCTATATTTTCATCGGTTCACAGATCAAGTTCTTGATTAGTATTCCCATTCCACTTATCACGTTTCCACAAGCCCTGTCTTACGAACGAAGTTGTTAAAAGGTGTTAGAGGGAGAAAGGCAAAGGAATCAATCATAATAGCTGAATTCATATTAGAAGACGGATTTCCGTCTAAGACGGGAAACTCGTGTGACGGATTTCCGTCTGCTATAAGTATGAAACGAAAACCATCGGACGGATAAACCCGAAAAAATAGGAGACCCTCCATCCCAGTCTCTATTGAACGTTACGAGCAGAAACCCGTCTTGATTTATTCGTCTGATATAAATTTAAGACGGATTTCCGTCTAAAACGAGAAACTCGTCTAACTTTCCCGTCGTTCAGACGGGAAAGTTAGACGGAAAAGTTGAGACGGAAAACCCGTCGTTAACCGAATTTATATCAAGACGAGTTTCCCGTCTTAGACGGAAATCCGTCTTCTAATATGAATTCGGCTAATGTCTTCATTGTCTTGCTTGGTGTTAAATACTGTACTATGTAATATGCAACTTCAATAACAAGTTCAACAAGTAGGACAACAGTAAGAACAGGGCTAAAGGCCTAAAGCCAAGAATAGTGAAACAATGAATACGTGTGTTAACACTTTGTGCAGACACTAGTTCTGAGCAGTCAACATTGGGTGACGTTACTCCTCATGTGGTGGTCGCCCTTGATTGATAATTGTCTAAGTCTGGCAATGACTATACTAAAACAGAATTGCGTAACGCCTTCCGACAATGATTTTTTCGAGTTCACTCGACAATCTTAATATAAAGAATGATACGAATTATGTCCTCATAACTGTAGGTGATCGACATTACAAGTTTCGCTTCCTTGACAACACGGAAAAGGCCAAAAAGTGGCTTGTAGAAGAAAAGCAAGTATTGTCGGCTGCTGTTAATGATAGTAAGCAGACAACAGATGCGGGTTAAGAACTCCATGTTTCCATCAAGGCAGCAAAATCAAGCAGAAGCAAGTCTGAAAATTCAACAACAATGCTACGATGATTTCAATGAATATGAAAATTCTGATGAAGAAATAGAGGAAAGTCAAAAACCAGACCAACTTAGTCTATCACAATTGGCAAGCGAAGTTGACAGAAGTTGCCATTCCCACCATTGAACAAAGCAAAGATCCTTCAAACTTCTGGAAGGAAGAAATTAATATTCCCAGACTAATTGTTATGTCCAGCATCACCTGTTTATTCAGAGCACCTTTTTTTCCAAGCTGGTGACGTCTTCGAAGAGCATCATGTGCGCCTTCTCTCCACAAATGGCGACCAATTACTATTCCTTCGTCATAACCTCCCCTGGGGCCAGTTGTATAAAACTCCTACTTTTTAACTACCTGTTTCGTGGCTAAATTGTTGTAGTAAACCCTAAAATGCACCATTCTGATTGATCACTAACTATAATTAACAACAAGCCCCTGATTTCCAAGCTCATAACTCCACATTAACTCATTCAGTTGCATTGCGCCCTAATGCACCCTACTTTGTCATTAAAACCGGTCGAATGACGTCATTCATTTTGCACGCAAATTGGAATAAATCGGGCTTTCCTGCCAAAATAACCTGGTAAAAATATCATTTAATGCATCACTTAATGACTTAAGTCATTTTGTTACTGACAATTAGAGAAAATAAATTTCAACACACTAAAGCAGTTCCTGTCTTTGCGGAAGAGAATTCAATATTCTTCAGCTTGGCAAATTGATAAAACGATTATTTTTACTTATTTTTTACTTTTAATCGGTTATTATGCACAATTGCAAAATATATATGGGAACCTTTACGGATTCTGATTGTCTACTAATAATTCAATAATCAGGCAAATTCCGATTGCAGCTCAACCATTAATAAACTCTTCTACTGAAAACGCTAATTGTCATACCATTGTTATAATTGTACATTTATTTTAATAGCTAAATTGGTTCATTTGAACATTTAAGCATTTGACTTTTAAGAAACCTAGATATGGTCTGCTTTTGTTTCTTATGCAGTTTGCATGTCAAGTAATGCCATCAGTTAAATATATGGTTGATGCCCATCAGTAAAAACACTTAATATTATATCTGCCTAATAAGACAAAGTTCTGATTCCAGCCATGCAGCTTCTGTCAGTTCCGGATGGAATTAGAACTCAGGGTTCCATCCAGTGTGCACAGGGGGTGCGCACCCCTGTTGGCTTTGGTCAACAGGGGTACAAGGGGGGTGCAAAAAAATCAAATTTAGAAATATGGCACAACCCCCTAAAGAATTATAAAGGAACAGTCGGCTGCTCACCCAGCACCCCCCTAGAAAAACCTTGCTGGATCCACCGGCGAGGGTTTTCATTTGTTTTAATATCGCAGAGTGTCTGTGACTCCCACCGCAACAGAACAATTTTTTTTATTTATCATGACTACCTGCGATATTCCCTGATGAATTACAATAGGTGGTTTTCATTTGTCCTAAGCTGCCTGTAATGCTTGCCAAAGTTACAGAATTGACATTAGGGAGTAGAGGTGTGCGAATCCGATCCGAATCCGAATCCGATCCGATCGGATTCGGACAGTAAATTACTCGGATCGGATCGGATTTCGTTTTGTTTCTGTCGGATCGGATCGGATTTTGCAGGTTTTTTGTCGGATCGGTTCGGATTTGATTTTTCTTGTATCACGTCGAATTATTCGAATATTTTTACAAATTGAGAAAGTTCTATATTCTGCAGCTGTATTCCACTTTTTACGTTACAAATGGCATCAGAATTCACAATGGATTTGAGCATAAAAGTAATTCCATAATCCATATAGTCCATACAAACTACAAAGTCAAAGTAACGTTTTGCTCGCTCGCGAAATCGCGAATAACGAATGCCATTATGCCACCCAATCTCCCCTCGGGCCTCGGCTATTCAAATCGTATCGCCCTGATGATATCGCCCTGCAATTTTTATCGGATTCGTATCTGTTTATTTTTGCTAGAAATTCATTATTTCCAATATATCGTTTATGATCATGAAAAAATACGTTCATAATAATTAACGCACGCTGTACAGCGTACACAACTTAAGTTCGGATCGGATCGGATTACGAATTTTAGCATCGGATCGGATCGGATTTTATAAACATTGTTTCGGATCGGATCGGATCGGATTACTTTTTTCATCTTCGGATCGGATCGGATTCGGATTGAGAACTTAGACAAACCATCGGATTGAGAGAGGTCAATCCGATCTGACGCACACCTCTAGAGCAAACCCTTATCATTTTCCGAGATAGTGTACGATTCTTGTGATATTAAACCTGTTGCTCCTTGAGTACATGCCATCTGCTTAATATCTGCTTTCTTGATCAACTTTCCTTTGCCAATTTTGTACGCCTTCCACACTTTAATTCCTGATTTCAGAAATTCAAAGTTGTTGAACAGTGTTATTCCTGTCCACTTGTGCTTTGCGATTTGCTGTTTGGTTCTGCTGATACTAACCACCGAAGCTCTGCACCCTTTGACGCCGCCGTAGGAATCAAGAGCTTTCTTCATATCAGATGCAGTGTTGATGTTGTTCCCTTCATTTAAAAAATGGCGTATGTGGCTTTTCACGCATGCTATTCGTCTGTCACAGATATCTTTTCCAGGTTGTGCATCACTGAAGTCGTACCGCCTAATTTCAATCCCAGTTCGTTTGGAAATCCCTGGAATAGAAAGCATTAACGGAGCAACAGTGATAACATCCTGCATTATCGGATCTAAGAAATGCTTCGGAAATTTCGGGATAGCTTTCTTTTAAATTTGACAAGACATCTGCGATAATCGATGCCACTGAGAACCAATCTTGCGTGCAATTGTCGAACAAATGGAAAAATGTTTTGACCTATTCTTGCAAAGAAAAAATATTTAAACTCAAATTTTCTCGTGTGTCAAACTGATGAAACTCTGTTGCCAACTAAGCTCTGTGCAAATTGAAAACACAAAAACAGGACATACTTATTCCTCAAAATCTTCATCTGGTTTCTTGAATATTGCGGCACAAACATGCCATGGACGACCTTTCTTCCCAAACCATTCGGACTGTGTTTCTCTATAACTTACAGGCAAAAATTGCATTGCCCAGTCCATAATAATTAGCACTTGATTGGGCTTCATTTCTTCAAGAATAATGTTCTTTGCTGTATATCCTGGTGTATGTGTTCTTTCCAAAACTGAATCTTTTGGACTGCGGCATCTAAGTCATGCACTGTCTCCTCATTGGTTTCTTCACTTTAAAGACAAATCCGTACTCAAACAATCAACTAACCATGATAATTGTAAAAATATGCAAATAATAATTTACAACCCCATGCTTTAAACTATTTCGCCAGTGAAAAATGTTCACGTAAAAGGATACTAACCTCATTGTTACACTCTTTGATGATACAGCAGTTCTTATAGCAGACAATGTGTCTTTGACATGTCACAGCGATCACATGTCATGTTGTGCTTGTGAAAGCATTTCTTCTTGTATTCCAACGTAGAATCCGATAGAGCATATGTGCGACAATAATGATCTGCACATTGGTTTTCAAGACTGATATGTATCTTGAAATCTGACTTCAGGTAGTGCCTGATTTGACACAGGCTTTCTTGAGTTTCTTTAACCCATGACGCTGACATACCTTAGATAAAGAAATAGAATTTGCTGATGTTTCAAGTCTTAAATCTCTTCTGCATCTACCTCTGTTTTCCTACTTCTTTCTTTTGTTCACTCCCCCCCCAAAAAAAAAATTCTTCATTATTGTATATTGGTTTCTTTATTTGATCTTCCTTGTTTCTATTGCAGTTCCTTCTTGTTTGTGTATCTAACTTTCTGTCTATTGCTTGTTTGTTAATTTTTTATGCGCTTTTTGTGTATTGGAGTATTTTGAGTTTTCTCTCTTTTTTCCCCGCTCCCCTTCTCTCATTATGTCTTTTTAATTTCATCTCAATCAAATCACTTTAAAGTAGTTTTCATTTACAGTGTTTTCCCAGCGTAATGACGATTTCTTTTAATGATTCAATTGCAGAGCTTCCTTCAGTTGTAATGCTGTCAAGTCCAGAAAGACATTTCTGCTTTGATGCAGCACAGGCCTTTTAAAGAGAAACAAAATTTTTTTTCCAATAATATTCACAGAAAAACAAAAGAAGGCGAGAGAAAAAAGAAAGATGAACAATATTTTGTGTAAATACCTTTGAAATACTGAATAAAGTTGACTTCCCTAAGTATTCAAAATCGTTTTCCTTGCAAGTTGCAATATAAAGGTCTACTAATCTCGAAGATGTAACTGTTCTTACGACGTTTGGAATTTCCATTGTTGTTCCATTCGAGAGTTTTAGAGTCCTAGTGCCGAATGCAACATCTTGTAGAAAATGTGGTTGAGAGATGAAATCAATAAAATGATCAACTTTTGCTGGATTCAAACGTGTTCGATATGTTTTAGGTATCTCTTCGCCGTTCCTGCTCCATAAAGTGCTGCATGTTTTCTATTCGCCACGTAATTATTCCTGGCATCATTTGCTTGAGTTGTGATTTTGAGTAATCTTGGGAAAATATTGAGAGGATTTCCAAACGAGTGGTCCTCGAACTTGTGTCTTGGTACAAGGCTACAAGCTTCTGGACAACTTCTTTCTCGGGAGCAACTGTATTTCGTTCAAATTTGTCGATGGAAATTATCTCAAAGAGTTCATTAGACTGACCCGGTGCGATGCATTCTAAGGTAGCAATACAAGTTTGTAATGATTTCCTTTTGTAGTATCGAGTGGTACTTTGCGAGACGTCTCTAATTGGGGAACGGAGTTGTGCTCTGATAGGACTCACATCTCGTCCATGAACCCTTCTGATCAAGTTGTTTATAGAAACAAGTTGGTGACCTTTTTGAGGTGTAGGGGAATATTCTGGTCCACTGTCAAGGCTGATAACTGAGTCATCGTTAGACCGAAAACTATCTTCAAAATGGATTTTACATGTGTTCACAATCGTTGTCGTTGTTGCACTTGCGGAAGAACGCTGACAAAAGATACCAAATTGAAACTTAAAACGACATTGTTTCCGAAATTGTTTATGTATCTTTGATATATTCATATACTGTATACAGAGCCGTCAGAGCAAGCAAATGGGTTAATGGATAAACCAACTGTTCTTTTGATCGATCATAATTCACTAATAAATTTCTAAATATATCAATGATACCTTTTTGCAGTTTTCCACATCCATAGTCATTGTGTTTGCTGAATAAGATTCTTCACATTTTTCTTCTTTAAATGTCTGAATATGAAAATAACCACAAGTTCGTTTCCTTTTAATAGGAAACTATTGGTAATGCTTTGTTAAGCTTGAATTTGCTAGTGACTGTGGTCGCAGATGCCTACTGCAGCTTGCTTGGCGGCGCATCATCACTTACTGTACTCCCTCCCCCCCTGGAAATTCGTCTATGCCTATGGACCCAGGTCCAGTCTTGAATATGAATGTTACTTTGTAAAAGTAAAAAACTGCTGTATTTGTTTATTCGAAACACGTTACCTCCTCGTCTGTATCCAGTGTTGATCCTTCGACCTTCTTATTAACTTCTTCATTATGCTTTTCTCTGCATAGTCTGCATATACCTATTATGTGAATGCATAAAATCTTATGGTGTTTATTATTAGTCAAAATTATTTAATTACGAATATCATTATAAAACCTATATTCCTAAACTTTTGAAAATATATCCTTTAGACCACAAAATATCAGTTAGGCGTAAAAAAAATATCTGTGGTTCCGGTTCTCGACCGACCCTATTTTTTTCTGCCGACCCTATTATTTTTTCAACTGGATTGACCGTGCGACCATATTTTCTCCGGGTAGTTGCGGGTTGCTGCCAAAATGGCGTCTGTTGTCACACTAATTATTGAAAAAACCATGAAAAAAAATATTAAAAAAAAAATTATTTCCGACCTACCGACCCTAATTTTTTTGCGATATGAAACCGGAACCACAGGTATTTTTTTTACGCCTTAGTAAGAGTGCTGGTGTTTGTAAGTTAGATGTCGAGCACTTGTTGCTATTGGTAAACTACTGGAAGTTCACTGGGATATAATTATGTTGTTTTAGACTTTAGTAAAAATTACAAAAAAGCGAATAAAACGTTTTTACCACGTATCGAACCAGACTCCAGAGCATACGGCACGCAGTAGTTGGAATCTCTACCACTAGAGCGCCAATCCCATGGACTGCTGTGAGCGTAGCCGAAATAAAGACTATTTATATTTTTCTTTAATCTATCTTTTTTTTCGTACTTCGCATGTCCTAACAATCATGTAATTATAACCAGGTTGGATGCTCTCACTTCCTTATGGCGTTCAAGCTGCACCATTCTAGACTTAATTAGTGGGAACTATCAACAATTCTTTGAATTCATTTTACCCGTGCAATTATATGCTGCAAAAATTAATAATTATAATTTATATTAATTTACGACAAATTGAAAAGATCACTTACCAGAACCAACTGAAACAAACCTTTCCCAAATGTCATTAATTTCCATTGACATTTTCTTTGTAACACCCCTCTCTGGTTTTGCCTTCGAGGATCCGTGAAGAGGGTGTGCGCACCCACGTTTTGGGAGCCAGGAAAGACCAAGATTCTCTCTGTGTCGTGGACATACTGTTAACCCCTCCCCGTTGCTACCAAATATGCCCGATCTTAATAGAATAAGATCGCCTTCTGATGCTACTGCTTGTCTACATAAGTTTAAACGCCGGAGATGCACTTGTATATCTCTTTTACATGCTAATATTGGCAAACACTCCTTCATAGAAGGGTATCTCGAGCAAAGACCACAATCAGTTTCAAGCCTTTGCCTAACTGAACATTTAACAACCTTTGGTGTTCCTGGTAGCATATTTTTCTTTCTTTGTAAACTATACATTTCTGTTTTCCTATATATCTTGACGAACACGCGTACGTGAAGTTTACAACTCGTGAGGTTATCCTACCGGCTCTGTTTTGCAGTTTTTGGAGTTTTTCAGAGAGGGTTTTACCTAGGCAGCCCCAAACCTCACTACAATAGTCTGAGTAAGGTAACACTAAGGCTTTATACATCAGGATCAATGTGTTTTGGGGTTCAAAAGTTCGAATCCGCTTTAACGCCCCAAGACCTGCACTTATCTTCTTACAAATGGTTTCAATATGTACTTGCCAATTTAAAGATTCATCAATTTCAAGATTCATCAATGTTTGGAAAATATCGGCGAGGAGGTACTGCATGGATGAATTTCTAGTAAAATTATTCTTAAAATAGTGTTACCATGACAACTACTTTCATATTCAGAAAACATAATGTTTTGTCAGTAAAGCGAAGGTTTTTTGCATGCATGTAATTTCTAGCAAAAATTGAGAAATCCCCCCAAAATATCGCTTTTAATAACAAAATTATCAATTTTCCAAAGATATTTATGCTAGGTATGCTATTATGCGTAACATAAGCTTCAATTTCATGTAAAATTCAACCACAAACGATTCGCACAACGTTTTAAAATGTTCTTAAAACTAATCGGTCTTTTATCGAATTATCGGTAAACATTGAGTTTGGAATAAACTAATTTCAAATTCTCGCATAAAAATAACTTTGCTTTCCTCTTTATTTAAATACTTTAATATACAAAAGAAAGGGTAATTAATAAAACTACACTGAAATTATATGCTGTAGGTGGTGTTTCTTTTTTCACTTTATATATACGCAATGATAGTATCGCTATTAACTATCAGTTTGATATTCGAAGTATCGCCCACCACTATCAGTTATAAATATATCAATTATAAAACAAACAATACATCAATATTTAAAACAAACTTGCCTTCATTAAAGTCCGCGACTTTGCTCTATTCTTTCAGACGTTTTTAGACGTTTTTTGGCTTTCAGAAGGGTTTTGAAATTTACAAAATCTTGTAAAAATACAACTTAATTGCAAGAAATGTTCGTTATTTCGCTGTCGTCAATGCAGTCGTTATAATGCACATTTCAAATTTGACCAATCAGTGTTCACTATTCACGACAGTCCGCTATATATTTTGTGATCAGTGAGGATGACCACCCATGAACGATGAACGGTGGCCATGCGCCCACGATATTTGATGAACTTTAGTGTTCCTTTCGCCGGGTGTAAATAGCCGGGTGGAATTACTACCCTCGCACGGCGCTTCGCGCCGTCGGCTCGTGGATAAAATTCTGACTGTCCGCCGTATTGTTCTATCTCCATTCCCCTGGCCGAGTGTCACAGGGAACCCACAAGGATATCCTACTATCGTTACAAACTGTAAGTGTTGGTCTCGAAATAATAAGTAGGCCCAGCTGTATTTCCTGTACAGCGTAAACAGGTTATGGGAGGTTTTATATTAGTGTTCTCTACTGTATATCGAACTAAATCTAAGACTAAGAGCACATTTAAACTAAATTTCAAACGCAAAACCATATTGATATTTGCTATGTTAGGAAATAACATAGCAAATATCATGATTATTACATTACACTGATATCGAAGGAACTACCCTCAGTTTCGAAATATCACATACTCGAACCGACCTGACCGCGTAGCTCAGCTCGCGGAGCATTGGACTGGTATTCCAAAGTTCGTAGGTTTGATTCCGACCGCTGCCAGGTATAGTCAAGCCTGCCCGGTGTGGAAATACACTCAGACTAACACCAGAAGCAGCAAAGCCATATTATTGGAGACTAGAGAAAGCAAATTTGAAACGCAAACTAATGAAGGCAAACAGTTGCGCCTCTGCCTGTCACTGTAATTGAAAATCACCAGAAATATCGGTATATCGAAGAAAACATCGACGGTGTCTTCAGATATTTCAGCTGATTCGTAAATAATATCGATCGATTGAGAAGTGTCTTGGGTGTTCAGCAGTTTTTGTTTCGGAAGCCAGTATAGTTCAGTCAGAATAAATCGCCCCTCCTTGACGAGTATCTGTCAAATATGCCCATATTACGTGACCGGGCCAGACGATGGCTTTCTCTTCTCCCCGCTCGTCTTTACACGAAAGCCCTGGGAACGTGGTTGTGCAGGCACATCAAGAACATGTTCATTTTGCGGACCTGCTTAAATATTGTGCAACATATGTGTATCGGCTTCCCAGCAATGTTGGCAAATGGCACACTAAGTTAATATAATTAAAACATGCATTCTATATTTTTTACTATATTTCCGCTGTTAGCCATTTATAACGCTAATGTTTAACATTTAACAATTATTGAATGAGGTTGAGCACAATATGAAGAATTATTATCCAGCCCGAAGTTTGCGTTATCAACCAAAGCCGAAGGCTGAGGTTGATAACGGCAAACTGAGGGCTTGGTAATTCTTCATATTGTGCGAAAACCGAATTCAATAATTGTTTTATTATTTATTTTAAAAATTCAAAACAAACGGTCATCTATTTCTTTGCTCACCTCACGTTATAAATAAGGAAAAAAATTAGGAAACTGAGTGTTCTTACCTATTCTAGAAGCTTTTGTTGATCTTTTTGTATTTAACGAATCTTTATCTTACAGAAATTTTTGAATTTCGGCTTTGGCAAGGTTTGCAAACCTTTCAGTAGAAGAAGCCATTTGTATTTTATTTGTATTAAGACTGAAAAAACAATTCCTTAGTCCATCGGCAGCCGTCGTCGTCATAGCAATGGCGTCAGCGAGTCAATATGATTCTCGTTGTCATAGCAATATCGCGCAAACGCGTCCAAATTTTTTTCATATTGACTCTTTGACGTCATTTTGCTATTATGAATGTGAAAAATCCGTATTTGGTTAGCCATTGAGTTGATATGACAATTTCACAGTTCGCTGTTAGCCAATCAGAAAAAAACGAATTTTTTAAATAAATAATAATTTACATGCAATAGCGCACTCTATGCAGTATACTGTGTGCAATTACTTCTCTTCTTTTCTAAACAAAACAGACACGCATATTTCACAAAATTGCTTATATTTAGATAAAGTACTTGAAACAGAAAATTCGCTAATGAAGGGCTCACAGAAATTTTACAACCATATATAATTAGCTAGAACCAAATTGGTCATGTCTATTTTTGAGCTCAGCTAATGATCGCAGTATTTGGAAAGAACCCATGCAATTAGCATTCGTCACCTAGTGGAAGATTCAAGACACTTTAAACAACGTAAAAAATGACTTTTCAAAAATATAACTGTAAAGGTACCAGTATACAAACAACTACAATAATAAAAGGTTGTATTTCATGGTTCGGTGGCTCTCAAACGTGGGAAAGGCAGTACACAAAAAAATGGCAGAATAAATTAATGATAGTAGCCTGTCCACTATTGGACGATCAAGCTTTCCAGTGGTAGATGATGTGCCTACAAAGGAAATTTTTAGTACTGCTGGGTGGAGTATCCGCGACTACAGTGGGTGGAAGATAATGAATGTCACTTGCCCATACAGACTATAAAACACCATTCAGCGAAACAAAATAATGGTCAAAAAGAAATATTATTTTCATACTTACGTTAAATATTTCCGAAACATCTGTTTCAAGAGGCATTCTTGAAGGGGATTTACATTTTGAATAGCGACGAGAGTTCATTGGACCAATGTCTTGTCGATTAAGAATACTCATTACCTAGAGATGGATATGAAAATCTAGAACTGTTATTACATTTTAAACCAACGTGTTTTACGACACTGGTTGGTATGGTGTTGCAAGGCAACCTCACCGGTGTCCGTTGTTGCTGATGTCACCCTGGCTTTAACGCTGTTCTTAACGCTAGCTCGACTCAACGTTGGCACGCCTGCTATGCTAGTTAACGACACAACAAGGAAGGAGAAAAATTCGAAATAACTGCTTGAGTTTTCAAGAATTAATGTTTATTAAGTTAATTAGTTTTGTCAATATTGTATGGCATAGTCTAGTGTATTACTTGGTTTCAATCCCTTTACATATATAACTTCTTTTGAAGGGTGAAGAATCACAGATGTTGATAACTACACTGGTTGCCAAAAAAACTATTCATGACACTTGAACATACTTGAGCGAAGCAAGGCATAACATTTATAAGGCAGATTGAGGTACGTATATTAGTGAGAATTTTACTAAACAGGACGAGAAATTACCCTTCCGATTGGTGTTTAATAAAAGGAACCTTGGTGATGCATCTGAGATTATGGACCCCCCCCCCCAAAAAAAAAAAGGCGCTGTTCATGCACACAATGATCATAAGGCGGTTGCCGGATGCTTCCTAATAGAGCATTTTGACTCGGTCAGAAAGCTATCTATGGTCTAAATTATACCGCGATAATAAACATTTAATCACACACCTCTTCTTTCGTCACATCTTCAGAATCTCTCAGCAATAGAACACTTTTATCAAGTGCAGAAATTGCTACACGAGATCCAGGTTTTGCTTTCATTACGATCTTCGTTTTCCGACCAGGCCTTTTATACGTCTCAACAAAATCAACCGATACCTATAGAGAGAATCCTTCTTTAGCAAAATAATTACTTTCATATATTTCATTGTCCAACTTTCGTTAATGGTGACTTGGAAACCAGACTATTTTGGTGCTAATATATCCATAGCTCTATTATCATCATCGTGCATGCACGCTGTATCCATGTAATGAACGAAAAGTAATTGAACATGTTTACCGTCAACTTATAAGTTTAGGCGATAAATTCAGGATAAATAATTATAGTAACTGAAAGAGACAATATATTGAAATGGTAAACCAAACCAATGTCTATTTTTTTAAGTTGCTATATCACTTGAGGGAACATTATGGATTTGAAAATAGCGTAAAATGTTAGTTAACAAGTTCAGAACATTTTTGATTTTGTGCAATAATTTCGAAGATATAGGTCTCTAAAATACCTACAGTTTCAGGCCCCCTACGCACAATGGACAGTTATAAAAATGGCAAAATTCAATAGCAATGGTTGGACCCCAGAAGACTGGACTCAAGAACAGTCCGTTGTTTAAAGGCTTATATCCTCAAAACTATTGCACCAAATCAAAAACAGCTAGCTTTAGATCTTATTAACTAAATTTTTACGCTCTTCTCAAATCCATAATGTTCCCACAAGTGACATAGGCACTTTAAATGTCGGCACGTCGTCTGCCTATGTATTAGATTGTTAGATTGAATGTCACATGATCGTGACCTAACAAAGGCGTTTAAAGCAGGGAATTGACCTCCTGTTTTTCTTATAATAATTAGAAAACGCTTTTTCAATTATTCTTTCACCCTGCCTATTAATATCAATTTAGCGAATCTATGAGTTAGTCTCTGAGTAATGGCAAATTTCCAGTTTCAGTTTAATTAATTCAAGACAATGAAATTTATGCTCAATCTTCTTATGACAGACTATTGCCAGGGCCTATATAGCCATTCGTGTTTTGTTCGACCGATTTCTATTGTAAGCAATTGCTTTTAAGGCATGTAAACATGAAAATATGAATATACACACGCGAATTATCGCGCCTAGATATACGGCCCTGGCTACTGCCAGCAAGCTATCAAAGATGTCACACTCGTGTTAAGTAAGTAACTAAGTACTAATGGGATGTAGGGGAAAAATTACAACATGATCTTGGGGACAAGCGCCGGATTTTGACCTACTTTAACAACGATACCAGTTTGAAACGTCGAAACGTTCGCTCATGAACCTAATTCTACGAGAGATCAAATTTAATTCTTCAAAGCTGAGAAGCAAGGAAAAGTATATTTAACTTTAAAAGTTCTTACCTGATTTTCAAGCTTGTCTTCAACGTCAAACACAATACTGTCACCAACGGTCTCTTTATCCTTCTTGATATAGTAGACCAGAATTCTACAGCTGGGAACCATATCCTGGGTAACGTTGAACTTAAGTTCAAATTTGTTGACACTTGCTCTTTGTATGGTTCTACCATTATAAGTAAAAGATCTTTGGTTTCTATTCGAGCTGAGACGTCTATCCCGAGCGACTTTGCTGACACCAGATAGTATCAGATTCCCTTTACACAGAATCTAAAAAGAGAATTAATAAAGAGGTCAAAGACTAGGATATACAAATATATAGTTTGTGTGCAAAAAAGGCGACGTTTCTAAAGGGAGGCAGGCGAAGATTTCATAAATGGGGGGGGGGGGGTATACTAGGAATCTCCCACCCGGAAGTACGAATTTCCACTGGGAACGAAATTATGGAATGGGATGAAATTAATGGACACCGATCGGGAACTGTCATTCACCATGCATCTCAAATTAGTGAAAAGTAAAATCTCATACAGATAGCTGACATAGAAGTCGTTTAACATAATGAAGTAAAAAAAGACGAGAAAATTATAGCTCCAGAGGGGTTATTGGTCTAGTTGGAACTTCATAAACTAGATTTTTATTTTAAATGATTCTCGGTTTATTTTTTAAATGGTTCTCGCTCTCTTTTAAATCAGTTTATTTATATGTGCAAGGAAACGCATGGATTTAAATGTTGCACAATTCTGCCCTAAATTGTCTATGTAAATATAAGATACGATAAAACTCTTGATTTATAACCACCTAAATTGTATAGAAATTCAGGAGATAGATATGAAACGACAAACTTTCGGTTCAATAATTTATTCCCGTTAATTTGCTTTCGTAGTTTTTCCAACTTGGACCCGACGATTAGAATTGATACCAATAGAAAAGAAATAAAGCGGCTGGCAACCAAAATGTACACGCGGTGTCTAAATAATGTCAAAAAGTAACTTTTCATACAATATTTGTTTTGCATAAAAACTACACTATCGCGCTCCATCCATATGATATAGAGCACTCTTTAGCATCTTGCGCCTGAACATAATCGAAACAACAATACCTTATAGTGAAAGGGAATCTCTTCCAGCTTATCATTGTGAACGGTATACAAAACATTCACAGATCCTTGACTCCCAACCTAAAAGAAATTAATATAAAGACTAGAAGCTGGAAACTGCCTTCTATCTCGTAAGTGAATATTTTGAAATAAAATAAAATATTTAGAGGAGTCAAATAATATTGTGCATGAACACTCCTATATCAATCTGCTATTGTGAGATTACCGAGTAAGCAGGTAATGGGATATAATTTTTTTACCTTTGCTGTTGCATTCTCAGGTAAAACCAATGTCAGATAAGACAAACTTGGGGAATACAAAGCTTTAGAAGATTTACTCTTCTCTAGCTGACCGGAATTGTAGTTGGCCTAAAATGTTTGAAAGAAAACAATAAAGCAAATTATTATGAAGGTGATTGTTGAACAAAAGATTTGATTGGTGGGGAGAAAGGGTTCAATGGACCCTGAATGAAATTTGGGGAGCAGAATAGCCAAAGGGATTCATGAGCTAGTTCAAGATACTATAAGTGGACAAGAATGCTCTGACATTTATAACAAACAAATGTTTCAAATGTCAAAAGCGTTTTCTCAGGACATGCACATGATGAAAACCAGTTGGTACAGTAATCAATAAAACAAATTCTTACCTTAAAATTGAGAGTATACGTGTCAATCGGTACATAGCTGACAACGACAGGTATCAAACCATTCCTAACAGAATATGTTTGCCGAAATAAAGTTCCAGGCCACCATTTATTAAGGCGATGTCCAGAGACTTCAAGTGTAAGTCTGCCAGTAGTCACAGGTTTTCCATCCAGATGATTGATTCTAATCTTGAAGGAAAGAATAACTCTGTCAATTGTAGAGATATCATCTCGAAAAATTTTTAGTCATTCTCTCGACAAGGTGAAAACTAGGACTAAAAACATGTTTCAGCGACTAAAAACATGATGCATGAACTGTCGCAACATTTACTGTCATGAAAAATTACTTGTGGCAAGGACAAATTAGCCATATTAAACTGATAATAATGCTTAATACTTTGCATTTAAATTTTACAAGTTGTACACTAGGTGTATGCACAAGTACGTACTAGCGCATGTGATATAACATTTCGTAGGTGATAAGGAATATGCCAATGCACGTACTTGAATTGTAAGTTAATCAGTTCCTTTGACGCTTTAATAATAAGAAGTGGCTATAAGAGTTGGCTTAGTACAAAGCTTCCATTTATAATAGCAACGGCCATGCAGGCTCTAGACTTATCAATAGTTATACTACTGGTGAAAAACAGTATTTCAGACCTAGGAGCTTGGCTAATAAATGGAAAATCAATATTGAATTGGAATTACTCAAGTGTTCACATGAATTAATAAGCTCTTATATTTGAGAATCGCTGGAATGAGAATGTTATTTCACTTTTGTTATACTGTATATCAGACATCTTCATGTTTTGTCACTATATAAGAATTTTTAAATTCTTATATATGGTATTACAAGAGGGAAATAATTTCAACGGAAAATATAGTATAAATATAGAATATAGGAACAGGCTTCTCTCGTTTATTGATTTACTTGTCCCCTTAAAAAGCGGGAAAGTAAATTAATAGACAACAGAAGCCTGTTTCTTTGGTGGAGGATCTACAGCTTTCATAAAATCATTTTCAGTGGTTTATTCCATTAGAAAATATTTCTTCCGTAAGTTGTATTTTAACGCGAAATTTTTCACGCGAAGCGAACCGAAAAACAAATCTTCGCAATGTGATTGGTCAGCAAGAAAATTTGCCGCGAAAAAGTTGGATCAGTTCCTACTTTTTCACTGTTTGCGCGAACAAATTTGCCTAGTGCATGAGAACGGGCTTAACACACTGTAACAACCGTATAGAATTTTAAAATTGCAGATGAGGTAGGGGTTTTGTAATTAAGTATTCGAGTTCGTTCACTATGATGTTAGTATAGTAGGCGCAAGCAGTTTATCCATTGACACCCTATCGATCTGCTGGCAGAGTTGACCGATTTAAAAGAAAAATGTTTTTTTAATTTTTTTTCTGAAATGTTCAACAATGATCTGAAGAGCATATGGAATATGATTCAATTTCGATACCTTAAAAGTAACAGGAAATCCAGGTTTGAACTTTTGCGGAATGTTAGTAAATGACATGGTTTTGGATTTTTTGACCATATAAGAACTTCGAGCGTTTTCTTTCAGTTTAACTCCAGTAGACGTTTCAGTAAATGTGGCTTGAATTTGTAGATAGCATTTATTTCTTACAGAAAGCCATTCTGTCACAGGGTCAACTAATTCTCTTGCATTAATCTCTACGCATCCTGTCACCTGTATAATAATAAATTGACAGTATTTGCATTAGAGGATGTCTTAAACGTCTGGACGAAGTAAACTTCTCGTATTAAGGGCGACTAATTTAAATAGGAAAAGGACTGTTCCCTGGAAACTAGAAAATAAGACAAAAAATAAAAACACATATGGCTATAGTGATTTGATAATCATGTATATATGTACGATGTTTCCATCGCTGTGTGTTGAAGTTAGGTTGTCTGATAATACAAACAGACAGACTGATTTGGATCGAGGACGCGGACGTCCAAGGCGACGTGAAAATGGCATATTGTGCCCATGTATGGATATGCCACGCCATTTTCACGTCGTTTTTGACGTCCGCGTCTTTGATCTAAATCAGTCTAACAAGAGATTCAGACGATGTTATTATTTATTCGTCATTACAATACTTTAATTCACGCGTCTCAGACGATTAAATCCTCCCATACGCTCCCGCTGAATAATGTCTTCCAACATAAATTTAAAGCGGATTGTCACAACTATTTTAATTTCCCATCACATGCATATATATTAAGATTTTTATTTCGATAACAGTTTCGCATTATATACAGTACAACTATAGTACAATCAATTTAATTAAGGTGCCACAGTGTAACATGAATGCATGCGTGCTTTCTAACTCCTCAATCAATGAAATTTCATGGTTACATTTCTTCCACTAGCACTCATAAAAACACTTTTACATCTGCTGTATGAAGTACTGGAGCAACAACCACAACTATATATATTTAATGTGTACCTCCTTTGCCGTTTCAGGTGTTACATTAGAGATCAGTACGATCTGCAGGATAATTCAAGCCATTGTGAATCGTAAACCTTCGGGTTATGTAATATTAATTAATTGATGTTCTGGGCTATTTCGTAACATAATTTTTAATTCATTTCGAAATAGAATTACAGTTCATAAACTAATACCCGATCGACATTCTTAAGCATAGGTACTGTACACTGCTTCACTCAAAACGTTATGGTCGCTTAATGTGTGCGCTCAAGATACCTACATTTTTTATTTCCGTCAAACAATTTCGTACCACCGTATCATATTTGAGACACAAGGTCGCTTCCAAATTTCCCGTAACCAACTTTCCATAGGAGTACCTAAAATCAAATCATATTATTTTTTAGTACAGTGTGATTTTTTGTTATTACTTCGATAACAAGTGTAATTTCATTGGAAAATCATTTTGAACATTCATGCACTAGGTAGAATGTAAGAAAAACGGATTCGAACTATAAGTACTAGATAAAACATGAGCAGCCGATCTGTATCTGATATGACAAACTCGAGCCGAAGGCGAAAGTTTGTATATCAGATACAGATTGGATGCGAATATGGTACTTAAAAATGACCCATGCATCTTAGAAGTTCATTGGCGAAGTAATTTTAAAAATAAACGTTGCTTAGGCGAAGAAAATCAAAGCTGAAGATTATGTAAAGTTTATCCGATTGACAAACATTGACTAAACATTCATTTCTTTTGTATTTTTCTCGTGAATTATTAATGAATATTTTGAATATGTATACAGTGTATGCTATAAGTAGGTGGACTTGAATAACTTAGATTCTTGCACTTCACTTGGTGGAATTAATATTAGGATGTTAGGGTTTGTAATCCAAGTTAGAATATATACATTTTAAGACCTAACCAGGAACGACTGCGAAAAATGCAGCACAAGGTCCTCTGGTAGGAATTGAACCTACGGTCCTGCGATTCCGGTGCAGCGCTCTAACCGATTGAGCTAGTTGGTTAGAGCGCTGCACAGGAATCGCAGGGCCGTAAGTTCAATTCCTACCAGAGGATTTGTGCTGCATTTTTTGCAGTCGTTCCTGGTTAGGTCTTAAAATGTATATATTCTCACTTGGATTACAAACCCTAACATCCTAATATGCTGTAAGTAAATTGTAGACGTGTCCTTTCATATATGCGTTTTTGGATGAAAATACTTTCAGACCAAAATGATAACAGATCGAGGAACTTTCCCCAGGAATATTTTTTGGAAAAATGTATGTTTTGTGTGCTCGGCCATTTTCAACTTCCAATTGTTTGTTTTTCAAATTTGACCAGAAAAAGGGCGCATTCTTTTCATGCGACCATCCGCACTTTGCAGGCCTACAATGAAAAAGGAATGGTGAAATTCGCAATACGGAATTTGAGATTGCATCACTAAGTCCATAGTATATTCTGTACTACTTGCATACTATATCGATAGTATGGAAAATGAAATTGGTATGAAAATATATACTATTTACTACTATTATTACTATTACTATCCATGATATTCCCATAGTATAAAGATGTTGAAAAAAATCCATTGTTTATTACTCCTTTATGTGTAGACCATTTGAAAGTTGCACATTTTTATGTAAAATATTTGTAAATTTTTCTCAATTACCTAAGTTGATTCACTGTTGTCATCATCTCTTAATTCAGACCTTTTGAACCGGCAGTTTTTAAGCAATACACGTGACTGTGTTCGTATGTTAAATCAGTTTTTAAAATAATTTGGATAGATTTCATTCAAATGAAACATTCGGCAAGCTATAGACAGTTACAGTCTAAGGCACAATACATGCATGCATGGTTCATGGGATTTGGACATTCGTTAATTTAAATTAATCCTTAAATGTTCGCAAAATGAAAACCATGACATAGTGGCCTTTTGAATAAATAAAATTATTGGTGCATTCATTAGAGTCGATATATAGGTAAAAATTTCACCCAGTCCAATTATGTGTGGTAATTATACCTGGCGCATATTGAAACAGGAATTACTCGTTGATCCAATGCTAAATATGGAGGAGGTTTGACATCCAGTTCAAACTTGGGTAGAAATAAAAGGTAAAACTTATTATTTAAAGAGAGCGCAAATTTAACATTTAAAGGCAAACCTGGCTAAGACAGAATTCGAAAGGTAGTGCGCTTCATGGAATACGGAATCACCTTGATTGACACATTCATAACACACTGAGAAAAAACTCTTATATATCATCACTTTAAATATGATTATGAATTACGCCTCAAGTGAAAAAAATTCAAATATTGTAAAAATCATGAAGTGCCCGCTCTTTAGTGCGTCGCAATATTCACCATCTCTCTACATATACATTAGATTTTTGCTTTCATTTTTTCTATCTATATTTTTATCCCGACGTTGTGGCTAATTCGGTGTAAAGTCAAAAGAATTTATATTCGCTTTGAAATCATTTCTCGTCCGTTCTACTGCCGTGTCCTGCATGCATTAACATATTTGCTGAGGAGAACTAGATTCGGACATACTTTTCTGAAAGAATCCGTAAAGAGTCTGCAGAGAATAAAGAAGATTTATTTGCTTTTCAGCTTAAAAAAAAATTCAAAGTGAAATAAAAGATACACGAGACCTTACGGTTTTAAAAAATCCCAAATTTGAAGTCAAGGCAAAAATTATTAAAAATTTATGCGGGTGATAATCAATATATATATATATATATATATATATATATATATATATATATATATATATATATATATATATATATATATATATATATATATATATATA